TTTTTTTGTCCTTAAACCTCTTATCACTCTTATATTTACAAAATTTATGACGCATTATTGATATCCTTTTTTATAAAACTTACGCAATTTTTTTTGTCCCTAAACCTCTTTTCACGCTTTTATAAAATAAAACTTATGACGCAATACAATTTCCTTTTTATTAATTATACATGTATATTTACCCCTGTATTTCTATCTATCTTTACATTTATCTCCATCGCTCCTGACCTACCTTACTTCAAGTTTTCAACCCTTCAATATTTAAGAATTTTATTCTGTCCTTACGAATATCTCAAAACTGCATCTCTTTCATTCTCTTTCATATTATTACGATATCTCTACTGTCCCCTGCTTCCTTCCTTCCTTCCTGTTTGCATTCTCTATCAACACTTCCAGTTGTACATCTTCGTAAGCATTCTTGTTTAGAATGCCAGTCCTCACGTCCTTCCCTTGTCCTCTAGCACGGGGGGAACAGTCCTCGCATCTCCGAGGATTTCTAGCATACCAGACTCGAGTCTCCTCATCAGCCTCAACAGGAACCTCATTAAACCTATGCCGCCGTTCACCAGAAAATCGAGTATATGAAGTCTCTATACGTGCAACAGAACTTCCACGACGAACTAACAAACATAGACCTAACATAAAAACCCAAAGTTAAAGAAGTAATAAGGGTTTAAAACATAACAATAATAAAACCGTACCAATTAGGTTGCAGAGAAGATTCAAGAACAACAAACACAAGCTAATTAACACTGAAGGATTAGGAAACCAAGCGTGAAACCAATTATCCTCAGATGCAACATTAGGAACAGTAGACAGCTCCTCAGTAATGTTTGATATGGGATGAACAATGACGGGTCCCATTCCAAAACCAAATCCAACCATGTTGATAATTAAAAATCTGAAAAGAGAACACAAAACATTACCACTGTAAGAAATGCAAGAAATTTATTTTACGAAAGCTAATATTCTACTGCAGCAGGAACACATGTTACAACCCGACGCTTTCAAATATGAACAAAACCAAATAGCTGGAGAACTATAAAGTGATAAATTTACAATCGAAATCCAGAACTCAAACCTGAAATTCAATAACTTTAAAATCCAAAATAGATAAACTTTTATATAAAAACATTAACATGAATTTTCTTTAATAAAGATTTAACCCTGTAAAGTTACAAAAACACAAATATAAAATACTGTAATCGAATATGTTATATTACACTTCAAGATAGCTTGAAGATAATGCCCTAGATACAGCCAATTTACACCTCAACACTTCAAAGATACAATCGGGCTAGCCATTATCCTTACACAAACCCCCCCTCGGAAAGATATCCTTTCTTTTCTTGGAGAGAGGGGTATATGTAAAACCCCAAGTTTTAATTCTAACTATGTTTCTCTGTATAATTAATAATTGATGATAAAGATATAATTGGCCTTGAGCTTTTGGATCTTCTTACACCACCTCCCCCTTTTTATACGCCTTCATTAGCTGAAAAAATTACTTGGGGAGTGGCATCTTCGATTGTTTCTATTTTGTTCCTTATATTAGCTATTTTTACGAAATTTAACCCTATTCGAACTGCTGCGGGTCATCCCCGTCCAAATGTAGTTTTCCGTATTGCCGCTTCCCGCCGCACGTAACTTCATATTTTTAAGTTTATTTTCATTTTCTTATTTGCGCGGTTCCACATTCAAACGCATATACTTTTCATTTTTCTGTCCGGACCAGTTTTGCTCCTAGTCGGTGTTAATATTTTTAAAACAGATATTTCCCTATCGTACGTATATACCGCTATAATAAAAAATGAAATGCATGATTTGTACATTATCTAAAACTAAAATACTAAATATAATTATTTTTAAATTTTTAGCTAATTATTTTTCTTTTCAGTTCTGCGGAGCACCCTGTCACCTACATATCTTTGAATGCTGGAGCCAGAAATCCCTTACATTTTATAAAAGAATTTTCTTTTGCATGCTTTTGCACTTTCGCCTATAACTTTCATTTGTATTATTATATTTCATTATTCGTTTGCTATCGGTCCTTAATCTTAATATTTATAATTAAAAGCTACATGTAAAAATATTTCAAAAGAAAAATTGACAAATATTTACTCAACTTACAGCTTGTAAGGATTAATTTTTTTTTCGCCATTTTAAACTTTCCATATTAGGCAAAACGTCATATAACCATATTTTAAAATTCTTCTGTTCGATATATACTCAGTAACATTTTTTTTTCAATTTGTGTTAATATGAAAGTCATTAAAGGTGTTGATCTACATTTCCCTAGGGCAAATATTACTAAAGAGGATTTTGTAGATAAATCTATTTTTGATTTAACTTGTATAAACACCTTCCGTTTGTGTCAAAATCAACGCAAGTTGTTACCGTTAACATCGTGGGCGCAAATAATAATACACAAACATTTGTTTAAATGGGCCAAGACCTTAAACTTGTCGGTTTTAAATTTTATTAAATTATTAATTGCACCAATACATCTCAAAAATACGATTTTAATTGATTTTTTATGTTGTGAACGTCACAATGATTATGAATATACTGATAAACATGCTCAGCCCGATATGCATGCCCTATATATATTTAATTTTTATGTAAAACATACCAGTGATTATTATTTTATCCGCCCAGCCTTTTACGAAACGGAAAGATATTTTTCTAAAAGTCTCTTATTTTACTTTTATTTAAAATATCTAGAACGTACTAAAACAGCACAAGTTTTTTTTTCAAAACTATCCAGAAATATAGCAGTTCATGATTTATTACAAACGTTTTTGGAAAAAGTTGTTTATATTCCCAGGGCCCAATGTCCTGAAGTTCCTTTATTTTTAGATAATTACACCGCTGTTTGTCAATATCATGACTATTACATAAACCCACGTCTTGACATGACTCTCTTTCATGTCCGTGAATATGACTGTCATCAATGGGTTCGACTTAAACATGAAAATTACTTAAAACTAATGTCGGTTTCTTAAACCCATATAACAAATCCGTTCTCGTTCTAACGACCAAAATAAACAATTGTAATCTATATTTTAAAATTTGTTTATTTCGATATGTATATCTGTATTGCACATTATTTTAAGTTGTATAATTCACTGCAACTCGTCCACTGCAGGTTTCAAAGATATTGGATTTTTATACTTCCCGGATGTATTTATTTTGATCAATATGGCCCCACCATTTACATTATATAGTTGTATTCTTTCACTTTCTTTTAATATTTTTCCATATTTCTAATGTTATATTTGTATATGATTCAGTTTAAAATAAATACTGCACCAACTTTAATAATTACTTGTCAGTCAATAGTCTGTCCGAATCATCATTAAACATAAAAAACAACATAAAAACCTTCTGCAAACAAATTCCACAAACTAAGTGCCGATTAAATTGGAAATTGCGATTGAATTTTTAAAATTTTCTTGAAATTACATACTCTACATTTTTATTCCTTTTACGTCCATTTTCTAGTATTTATTAATCGTTTTCTTACCAATAATTTTTTCAAACAATCAATTCTAAATAACGTATTTTAATTTCCATCGTGAATTTAATGTTTGATACTGCAAGAAAACTGGGTCTACTCCACCATCACCTGGATAGCTGATTCTACTGGTTTATTCCATTAAATTTTTTCTGTATAAGTCCCGCTACATTCCTTTCCTATTGATTCCTGTTGATTTTGCACCCTCCCCTTTCTTCCTTCTTGGTTTCAAACTGTTTTATTTTTTATCACTTTTATTCTGATTACATGTTTCTTTTCTAATTTAGCCCTATACCCTGAAGATTTACTTAACCTAAGTTTTCTTTCTTTGCTATTAATATATTCCTTTCTAATTAACGTTTTACCTTTTCATTTCGTGTTGCTCCCCCCCCCTACGTATTACTGTCCTTCACTTTTCTTCCTTTCTTTACCTTCTTCCTTTGGTTCATCCTATTCCTTCTCTAAACAAAATAAAGATTTTCTAAGTTTCACTTTCCTAGTTTTATCCCACTCCGAACTTTCCTTTCCTTTTTCCACTATATTCTCTTTCTACTTTTTCTCCTGAATTCTAGCTTTATTCTAAAATGTTGTCCTTTCTTTCTTTCTTTCTTGTCTGCTTTCTCCGTTACCGTCCTTTCCTACCTTTTAAAAACATATACCACTTTCCATATATACTTTCCTTCAGTTTCATTTTTCATTTTGTCTTTCTCTGCCCATCCTATTCTTCATGCCATACCCTTCTGTTCATTTTTACGAACTCATTTCCTTTCTATCCCCACTCTTTTTCTGTTTCCCTTTCTTCCTTTTTCCTTTCCTACTTTAAATATATACTCTCTTAATTCCTGTTATGCCATTTTTTTCCTCTTTTTTCTCCCTTTCTTGATCTAAGTTTCCTTTCCTGTTTCCTCACTATTACGTTGCATACCTGTTACCGGCCCTTTCCATTGCCTCTCTCCTTCCCATTACCCAACCCTTTCTTATCCTTTTGTTGTTTTTCTCCTTTTCTGTCTTATGTTCTTCACCTTTTCTGTCTTCCTTTCGTCTTCCCATACCTAACCTTTCCTCCTCCTGTGTGTCATTTGTTCTTCGGTTTGTATTATCATTTCTGTTGTCTTTCCTTATCCTAATTTATCCGTTTCTTTACCTTTCATCTTTCTCTTTCGAACTAAACTCCCTTTCTTTCCATGATCCACCTTTCCGTTTCCTTTACTCCCGTTCTTTAATTATCTTTTCCCAATATTTGTCCACTATCTCTTACTTTCCACAATTCAAACATAATTACTATCATAAATTTTCTTTTCATTTCTAATTTACATTTATTTCGACTAAGTACAATACATTTCTTTGCACTTCAAAATTAAGTATTTGACAGCTCTCATTTTCAAATAAGCGCGACGCTTTTTCTTATTCCCAGGAAATAAAATAAACACCCGGTGGAAAACAAGTCAATATCAATAAACAAACGTTTTTTTTTGCCAAATAAAAAGACACGAAATATTCACAAAAAGCAAGAAAATTTTTGCTATAAATCAAGGTAATACAAATCAGTATAAGAAAACAAAAGTGTTTTTGCAAAATAAAAAGAAACGGAATATTCACAATAAGCAAGAAGATTTTTGAATGTAAATCAATGTGATTACTGGGTTCGTAGTCGTTAACGTCATAACAATGTCTGGACTGTACTTATTTTCTGAAAGATCCACTACGGGTACCCAGCTTGGTAGGATCGATCTCGTTCAACAGCTCAACCTCAGTCTTGCGCTTTCTACAAAAACATCTGTATAATTGTTTTGTAAAGGAGTATGTACTACATTCTCGCCCACGTTCAATTAAGTTTAAGATTTTCAAATTGTTAAAAATCGAGCTCGCTAAGGTCATTAACGTTTACAATTTACTCCCAACAACGATAACTTGAATATAAACAGATGACTTAAATTTAAGCATTTCTTTTACAAATATTTCTATACCAATATTTTCCTTTACATTAGAATATTATTTGTTTTGCTCACCTTTTCTTACCCTCCAGGTCCGTCTCTTGCTGATATTGCTTACACTGATTTGCGTCTCCGTCGTCAGGGAATTCTTGCGGGTCGTCCTGTCCACCTTCACCGTGTTCACCAAAATGTTCATCATCTTCCCCGTCTTCCATATAATTGTTCTCGTCGTTGCCCGGTTCCTTAGCCTCGTCTCCCTTAAATGTATTGTCGCCAACAACCAGCTCCTGAAAAGGATGTTTCATCTCGACGTTGCCCAATTCCATAACCTGGTCTCCCATATTATCAATCCTTTTCAAACTATCCAGACTATCCAAACTGTTCGCACTTCCATCAACAAAGCTCCTCTCCATTGACCTCAAACGTTCTTTCTCCTGTTCGAGCAGAGTATCCGCCAGGGTTTCAAGATCCTCATATGGTGGAACATTGAACACGTTCTTGGTCCGCTGAGATGCCATTGCCATGTACTGCTGGCTAATCTCCTCTTTGTCCTCGTTCCCAATCCTGTACTCGGTTTGGATCCTACAAAGACATAAATCCAATTTTTATTCATTTTTCAAAAGCTTACTAATATTTCTCTTGATAACTACTACTATCCTTTGTTTATAAAAACGAAAGCGGATTATTCACCTGTTCACTTCCCTACGGACCATCTCTTTCATCAACTTCTCAAATTGTCTGCTGGCATACAAGGGCCCCACTTCGAGAGCCATCCGAGAAATGCGCTCAATCAGCCGGTCGTCCTTGATATCCAACTTCTCGATGTTTCCCTCCTATCAAGAAATTTAATTAAATTTTAGGCAAAAACTGGACTATATTATTCTTTAAGTTTTTCTTTCGAATTCCAATCTGATATTGTATTAAATTTAGAATTATCTTAATGCCAACGGCAATGTAAAAGTTTATACATATAACTTTACCTGCAGCTCTGGAAATAAATCTGTCTGACAGGCGGCTTCTTTCATGCTCTTAGAAATCAAGGGCTCGTACCTAAAATATACACAGTAAAAATAAAATAATTTTTTTTTCCTATAAAATACAATTCGTTCCAGTTTTCCTAGGTTCTAACTTATTATTTAACCGTTATCTTTTTAAAGTAACGAAAATGACATTTTCTCTTAATGCATTTGTTTCGATAATTCTCTTCCAGTCTATGATAATTGGTCCTATCTTAATATGTCTATGTTCTTTACCTAGGTTGAACAATACCATCACCAACCACACAGTCAGCGTAAACGTTCTGAACCACTGGAGACACTTCTTGGCTAAAATGGCGTCCGACAGGTGCACTCAGCTTCCTAAATATTCACAGTATTATTGATTTCCGTGATATAATACTTGAATCTCCTACATACACTTCAAATGTCGTCCTCCCACATAACCTAAAATACATTTTATACAAAGGCGTCTATACAGATACACTTTGCATATCCTTCTAATATGATGCAAATTTTTCAACCGAACCAAACAAACAATAAAATCGGTTTTTCATATATGAATTATCCACCACCATATACCTTAAACCCCATCTTCCTACAGCTAAGATTAAAGCACCAGCAAGCACACCTACTCCCACGGATATGATAATCTGTCCCCGACAATCCAATTTACATTCCAAAGATATTATATCATTGGAACCATATCCCCTTTCCCTGGTTTCATCTGTCTGGCGGTCTGTGATACACTCCATTATCATCCTGAACCCAAAAATAATTAAAATCATTGTCGCATATGAAACTTATTTTACACAATACCTGGTCATGCTGTTCTCTCCTCCCTCCGTCAGAGTCTCCTTGAATGCCTCCATAATAGCCCCAGAAGCAGCTCCAGCAATCCCTTTCCCGGCCTCCTTGACAGCCTCAACAGTAGCCTCTACGGTACTTGCCATCAGCTCCCGAGTCTGATTAAGGACGATTCCTTTCATTCTTAATATCTCTAATTACACACAAAAGTAAAACTTAATTTGGCTGCTCAAAACGAAATTTATACTTTAATTCCAAATGATAAAATATCATACGGCATTCTATTAACTTTTAATCCTAAATATTTTAAAACTTATTCTAAACAATAATATTCCTAAATTTTACATATTACATACAACAACTGCACCGTATGCTGATTAAAATTAATAATTAATTAAATGTTTAAACGACCGTAATGTTTTCAATGAAAATGAATGAAAGGACTCTTTTGTCCGAAAAGTAACTTTTCCATAACCGGTTCCTGCTTTCCGGCATAGCTGTTTCGGTTCCCGCCAAATTTCACTTCATAAAAAGTTTCCCGCCAAATTTTCTCGGCTTCACTCTACGTCTCTGGTGTTGTTTTTCCTGCCTACATAGTTTCCCGCCAAAGTTCTACACTTCGCTCTACATCTCGGGTTTTGTTCTCTCAAGCCTACAAATTCATCATTCTTAATCTTCAACATTTTAGTTCTGTAATGCATAATTAAAAGAAAATCCCAACTGTGGTTCAGGCAGGTCAACTTAATGACTTGTCTACACAAGCTACTCAAACGTTACTTGGTACCATAACGCCGTTATGGCAATATTTTCTCAGCCTATCTAATATATTTGACTTGGAACAGGAGTTTTATTTACAATTACAATCTAATATTTTACCCCCTTATGTTCTCTCTTTGCTCCCCCTTTCTACTTGTCTTTCTCCTTCTATTCAGAATAATTATCAACTTCTTTCATTTCAATCTTCTTCAAAAGGGCCTCAAATTTCTATATTAGTTACTCAAATTCTAAAAACGCGTAAATATATACCCCTCCATTCTACTCCATTTTTCGGTTACTTTCTAAATATTTCAAACACTCCCTTCCCCGCCTATAAAACGCTTGACAACTCCTTGGTTTATTTCCCATGTTCTCCTCCACATACGTTGTGCTCTGAACGTCAAATAAATGACTCTTGCTTATCTGCATTGCAAGAAAAAAAATTTACAGTCGCCAAAGTAATGTGTAATTTTATTAAAGGTACAGAAACACCGGTCCTGACCAGTGACGGAATACTTGTCCCAAACTCATATCAAATAGACCTACTGTCACCTCTTCCCCAAGAACTACCCTCTCCGCCCATACCACGGTCAACTAAAGGTCCTGCTCTCATACAAAGTGCCTCCCAGGTAAAATTAACATCTCAAAATCGTGAATATACTTTTCAACCCACACTTGCTGATGGTTCAAAGTTTACTGCTTTCTATTTAAATGCACAAGAATCAAAAACGCTTTTGGATCTTCTTACACCACCTCCCCCTTTTTATACGCCTTCCTTAGCTGAAAAAATTACTTGGGGAGTGGCATCTTCGATTGTTTCTATTTTGTTCCTTATATTAGCTATTTTTACGAAATTTAACCCTATTCGAACTGCTGCGGGTCATCCCCGTCCAAATGTAGTTTTCCGTATTGCCGCTTCCCGCCGCACGTAACTTCATATTTTTAAGTTTATCTCATTTTCTTATTTGCGCGGTTCCATATTCACAGTGAATATACTTTTCCTTTTTCTATCCGGACCAGTTTTACTCCTGGTCGGTGTTAATATTTTAAAACAGATATTTCCCTATCGTACGTATATACCGCTATAATAAGAAATATATGCATGATTGGTACATTATTTAAACATAAAATACTAAATATAATTATTATTAAATTTTTAGCTAATTATTTTTATTTTCAGTTCTGCGGAGCACCCTGTCACCTATATATCTTTGAATGCTGGAGCCAGAAATCCCTTACATTTTATAACAAACTTTTCGTTTGCATGCTTTTGCACTTTCGCCTATAACTTTCATTTGTATTCTTATATTTCATTATTCGTTTGCTATCAGTCCTAAATCTTGATATTTATAATTAAAAACTACACGTAAAAATATTTCAAAAGAAAAATTGGCAAATATTTACTCAAATTACAGCTTGTAAGGATTAATTTTTTTTTCGCCATTTTAAACTTTCCATATTAGGCAAAACGTCATAAAACCATATTTTAAAATTCTTCTGTTCGATATATACTCAGTAACATTTTTTTTAATATGAAAGTCATTAAAGGTGTCGATCTACATTTCCCTAGGGCAAATATTACTAAAGAGGATTTTCTAGATAAATCTATTTTTGATTTAACTTGTATAAACACCTTCCGATTGTGTCAAAATCAACGCAAATTGTTACCGTTAACATCGTGGGCGCAAATAATAATACACAAAAATTTGTTTAAATGGGCCAAGACCTTAAACTTGTCGGTTTTAAATTTTATTAAATTATTAATTGCACCAATACATCTCAAAAATACAATTTTAATTGATTTTTTATGTTGTGAACGTCACAATGATTATGAATATACTGATAAACATGCTCAGCCCGATATGCATGCCCTATACATATTTAATTTTTATGTAAAACATACCAGTGATTATTATTTTATCCGCCCAGCCTTTTACGAAACGGAAAGATATTTTTCAAAAAGTCTCTTATTTTACTTTTATTTAAAATATCTGGAACGTACTAAAACAGCACAAGTTTTTTTTTCAAAACTATCAAGAAATTTAATTAAATTTTAGGCAAAAACTGGACTATATTATTCTTTAAGTTTTTCTTTCGAATTCCAATCTGATATTGTATTAAATTTAGAATTAGCTTAATGCCAACAGCAATGTAAAAGTTTATACATATAACTTTACCTGCAGCTCTGGAAATAAATCTGTCTGACAGGCGGCTTCTTTCATGCTCTTAGAAATCAAGGGCTCGTACCTAAAACGCCTCAAGAGATTACTAAATATAAATTTGCCTCAACACACACTGTGGTCACTTTTAATGATGAACAAATCAATATATTATATGACATTACTCTGCCTTGGAGTCATAGTAAATATGGACCTACCATTGACCTTACATTTAGTGTATATAGACAAGAAAAGGTTCATGGTTTCGTTTTCGGACAAGATTCTATGGAAACTATGGGTATGATAATGGGTTATACTGGTCAAACACCTTTTGTCAAAATTACTTGCCCAATTAAAGCTGACATAGAAACTCGTTATGAATTCCCTGAAAACATTGAGACCTGTTCTACTACCATAACCTTGGATCCACATGAAACTAGAATAGTCCCATTCACGCCTCATCCTTTGTCAAATATACAAAAAGGAGATCATGTGCTGATATCAGAATCTAAAGATCCACTCATTCATGTCATACCCTCAAGATTTAAAGCGTTCTCCCTGTCGACTACTCCACTAGCTGCTTTTGTTACAAATCTCAGCGATAAGGTTTATACGGGCAAAGTACACGCCCAAACCGAATCCATAAAAAATTGTAACATTGTTGGAATAGATAATATAAAACTTTTGCCGCCATCCTTGCCCATAATTCAAGAAGCACTGCCTTACCAAAATTTGCCTGCTCCAATGAAGACGCTGAATATAATTGAACCTTTGCCTATAGCGAATAAACAAGTTACTCCGTTAAGTTCTTTTCTCATTAGAACGCCTTATGAAAGTACAAATATTACTCATCCTTATTCCTCATCCCCGTCAGGATCTTTACATCCCTTCAATGATGAAACTAAAACTAACTCCGCTTCTGCATGCTATAAAACTTCAAATAACCAAAAATTAATTAATGAGCTCCAATCTATCCCTTTCGGGACGCTTACACCAGATAAACCTTAACAGGTCCAAGATATACCTGTTTCTCTTACTCTTCCTCAGGGTTACGAAATACCCTGCCACCTCCCACAAACAGTGGAAGACATGTTACAATTAGATAAATATGATGAACTACACCAAAAATATATTAAAGACATATTTGTTGATACATTTCCAACAGTGGTTTCCCAACATAATTATGATGTGGGTTCGCTCAGTGATACCTTAGGCTACTACAAAATACAACTTAAGGACAATACACCTCTTCCACCTTTTAAACGAATGTATTATTTAGCACCAAGTCAAAAACAACAAATGAGAGATATCCTCGATTTTCTTCTTAAATACAAGATTATAGAACGCGCGAGTCAAAATTCTGATGTAGTCAATCTCTTCGCATCAGCAGCCTATTTAGTACCGAAACCGGACTCACAATCAGCAGCTCGCATGATTATAGACTTTCGCATGCTTAATGAAGCAATTTTAACTGCACCTGCTGTAATACCTAATCTAACGAACACGTTACAAGCTCTTCGTAATAAATATATGTTTTCAGTATCGGACTTTAGACAAGCTTATTTTTCAATATCTCTAGACCCTTCATCTCGGGCTCTTACCCGCTTTGTTACTGATCATGGTTCCTTTCACATGTTAATAACTCCTATGGGGTTATCGACCTCACCCAGTTGCTATTCTGAACTGACCCATAGGATGGTACATATGCGACCTCGTTTAGATGATCAAGGTAATCCAATCTTTTTGGAGAAAAACGTGGTTGATCTTGAACATGACCACATCCACGGTTGTGAAATCTTTTATGATGATCTTATCTTCGCTACTGAGCTTTGTCCTACGTATGCTGAAACTGTAAAAACTCATTACGCACTCATCAAAAGAGTGATTGAACGTCTGACCTTTCACAAAGCTAAACTATCTCTAAACAAATCACTTTTCGGTCAAACTCATGTGAAATTTTTAGGTTGGTATGTGGCTCATAATACTCTTATTCCCGATAAAAAAAGAGTTTCTAAACTATTAGATAGCCCCTTTCCATCCACCTTACAAGGAATGAGAGCTTTTCTGGGATTGCTTCAAACCATTAGGACCACTCTCCCTTGCACATTCATGAAAGAATTAACCCTTCTCCAACCTTTGTGTAGTTCAACAAAACCATATCAACCACAACAAGCTCATAAACTTGCATTTGAAAATGTCAAAAAATTATTGACCGATACTCCCATCTTCAGTCGTATTGTGTCTCCTTCTGCCCGCAAATTATTATTTGTGGATGCAAGTGAAACTGGGTGTTACTCTGCTGTCCTGTGTCAACTAGAGGAGATGAACCCTAAAGACACACACATTCCTGATTCTTTATCTTTGTCTGACCTGGTTGATTAAATCATTTTTGATGCTAGACTATGTTTTGAACCTGTACCCATATATCCTTTCCAAAAACACGTCCCACGCTCTGAACTTCCAACATCATTTCATCTAACACCTATCAAGGACATATCATTTCTCCAACACAATCACCTCGGATATGCAGAAACCGATGTCAAAAATTCACTCTTTATTTCTATTCGCTCCATTCAATATGCGTATGGTTGTCAATTATCTGACCCACTTCAACTTCGAAAAGAAATTGTATCAAAACTTAAAACCAGCTTAACATATCACCGTATTCTGGATTCCCAGTTCCAGAATGATCGTACAGCCTTCAACAAGTTTCTGGATGACATCCTGCATCATGATGGTCAAATAGATGACTCCTTCTTTATGATCGACATCTTGGCGAATATTCTTAATCGACCTATTACCATTATATCCACCTTACCCTGTCATAAAGGTAAAGAAATCTTAAAATATGTACATCATTCTAATAAACCGCCTTTTATTTTAGGTCTCTATCGCCGACAAAATTTATATATATTTCGCCCCTACTATATCAACCGCAATTCTTCTTTCAATCTAAAAGAGGTCGCCCATAAGTTTCAAATTGTATCTTTTCATTCTAGAGCTATTTCTCCTAATGATGCACGCAAACACATTGCAGAAAAAGAACTTTACGCCATCTTAGATGCTATGGACACCTTCACCAAACTAATTGGAAATTCGGACACTCTCTGTCTAACGGACTCTAAAGCCCTTTTTCTCCTGTTCTCTAATCCAGTCTCAAAATCAGTATCCAAACTAGCTCGCTGGGGCATGAAACTACATTTGACATACCCAAATTTAAAATTCAGGTTTATATCCACGCATGACAATATCGCAGACTATTTGACCAGAGATTACTGTGCAACTAAACATGACCTAAAACGTCTAGCCTTACATAACTTCCACTTATCAGACCTATCCCCTCATATTGACCCTCTCCGGGAGTTCACTATACCTGAATGGCAAACTTTTGTACGAGAACATGAGCATCTCCTACGCTACCTGGACCCTTCGTCTACTACATCAAAACAAGTATCTATCGCTTCTATGTCAAAGACGGTTAAGGACATGCAAACTTTCTTATCACCAACCAACGCACTCCAAGAACACATGACTCATCACAACATTGCTGCCAAACAAAAATTAGCGTTTCCTGATGTTTATCAAGCCTGTTTGCTAGCACCAAACTTTCTATCTACCAAAGGTGAATTTGAATATCTACTATCAAATGGATTGATTCATATAAAGGATAAAGAGGTTTTTAAAATATTAATACCTCCTTCTCTGGAAGGAGTCTTTTTAGCGTACCATCACCTTGCACATGCACATGCAGGAGTTGTTAAAATGTCGAGTCTCCTTGCACCCTTCTACTTTCCCAGAAAATTACATAAAATCAAACACCTCTGTTCCAGATGCTTTCCATGTGCATTAACCAACCCTCAAACCAGGAAACACCTTATGGGTAGCTTCCCATTACCATCTTATATGTATGAAACTGTTGTAGCTGATCTGGCCGAATCCTTACCACCGTCAAATGGTTATGCACATATCCTCATAATGGCATGCCCACTTACTAACTTCATCACCTGTTTTCCGCTTAAGAATAAAACAGCCACTACGGTTGCCTTTCATTTCCAATACGGAATCTTTCAAAATCATAGAGTGAAATATTTTCTAGCAGATAATGGTCCTTGCTTCATAGAGAAAAATTTTCTGGCCCTACTTCATACGCTAAGAGTTCAACGTGTACAAATCAGTTCCCTTCATCCTCAAGCCAATGGAAAGGCTGAAAGTTCCGTAAAGACTTTAAAATATCTGTTGAAAAAGTCACTTTCTCACTTTCCTGACGCCCCGTGGACCAATCTATTGCCCATTTTGGTTAAACAGTTAAACTGTACTCCATACCCTTCTACCGGTTTCTCCCCATTATCCTTGTTACATGGTCAAATGGGGAATCTGCAGATTCTCCGTTTCAGGAACCAACCTCATCAAAGGTTTACCCATTATTACAAAATTTTAAAACACAAATCAATGATAAAATGATAGAAACAGACCAAATCACATCTTTTATTAGAAAAGAAATTCAACTCCGAAAAGCTGAACTGCAACAAAAAATTAACAAAACCCGTAGCTCTACACCCTACAATGTTGGAGATTATATATTTGTGAAAGATCGATCCATTACTCCCGGTGTTAATCCTTCGATAAGACCTACCTATAGTGATGACCCCCACATCGTCATCAATGATCGTCCCACTACTTTAGTCACTCAACGTTTATGTGACACTTTTAAAAGTGTCTATGCAAAGGATGATGTCAAAAAATACAACCGTCTAGATGCTAGTTTTTCTCATCTTCCCTCTGAGGTCCGTAATGTTCTAATAAATAAATTTGCTGACCTGGATAAGTTAGATTTTACTACCATCCAAAAACATGCGGAAATCCCAATTCCACAAGGGCTTGACCTACAACCGGATTTATTTCAGTTACCTCCTCATGATCCTTTTAATTCTCAACACAAGAACCTGCCCAATCAATCCGCTACCATCACTTCTGATAATAACACTGCTACTCCCACCAATGCCACCACTTTTAATACAAAACCGGAAAATCTTCCCAATCCAAACAGTTTTGTTGTAAACCCAACTAATCTCCCTGATGCCACCCTTATGGACAATACCAACATTTCACCTAAGGATCAATCATCACAAGTTTCATCTCCGAATAAAAAGGATCTCACCTCTTCGCCCTTTAAACCTACTTCTCTCACTTCTGAAATTCCCAAGTTACCTACTCCACAACTTGATCATAAAATACCTCCTACTCATCAATATAACACCAGAGCAAACTAAATTGAAACTTACCTCTGATAGTTCTGATAGTTCAGACAATGAAGACTTCTCACCCAAAAAACAGGTTTCTTTTAAAATTTAACAAGAATACTTTTTCTCATTTTAAACATTTCTGGTATATTTAAACACTTTCCATATATTTGACTTTTCATTGTTAATATGTTTTTTTTTATTTTCTTCTTAGTTTCCTATTCAACATTTTTCTTTAACTTTTCTTCTTGGTTTTATTAGATTTTATGCTATTCACTCCTTCGTTCCTTTCATTCAATATTAAAGACCAATACAAAAAACATTACAATCATAAGAAAACTTACTTTTTCATTTTACACCATCCAAATTCATTCTTCCTTAACTTTTCATTGCTGCGCCCCTCTCTTGATAACATATTACTCTTACTTTCCCACATATCTTAAATTATGTTTGTTTTTCTCACACCATCCCTCAGATAGTTGTTTCCCCCCCATCGCCTTTTTCCTACTCCTGATCTTAGACATCTCCTCTCTACTTCGTAACTAATTAAAGATACTTCTTAATTACATAATATAACTCATTAATCTTATTACATTAATTTTTTTTGCAATTGCTTACAATTTTTCATATAGCCCGCGAGTACATGATCTGCTGGTTCTAATTTTTTTTGCTCTTTGTTCTTCAAACTTTTAGTTTACCTTTTACCTTCCTTAGGTTTACACCTCAACTTGTACTCTAATTCATTTTGTTTCTTTCTCTCAATGCAACATGGTTCCTGCTCCATCAAAATTCTCCTCTCCTATAAGATCTGTTTCCTCTCCACGTTTCCTTTCATTTATACCCACCAGTGCTCAACAAACTGTTTTCCCTCTACCCCTTTTGTTTTTTCTTGTTCTCCTGCTTCTTTTCTGTTTCTTTCTTCTTTTTATCTATACCGCTCCCCTTATCTGTTTTTTTTATTTTTCTTATAGTTTCTTGGGTTTATCTTGTTCTCCATCTCTCTTTTCGTGTAAATATTCGCGTTCTTAATATCCCGACTTGAACTTTTCTTCCTTTTCAAATTTTTTATTTCCTTCTTCTCTACTTCTTTCTCCTATATTATTGCCCTTTCCTACCCTTCTTGCACTTTTCTCCTATCTTGTACCCATTCCCCTTTCTCAATTTCCACTCTTCTTTTCTTTAAACCATTTTTTTTTAACCTATAGCTTTAATTTCAGATATTATATTCTTCCTTGCGCATCACTTCAAATTATTTTTCTTTTCTTTCCCCTCCAAGTGTTTCAATTTCCTGTTTTTACCTTCGTCATATTCCGTTTTTTCCCTCTTTTCATTTTTTTCTTCCTTTCAAATTATACAAAACTAATTTTTTATTCATCTCCTTTGAATAATTTTCTCCTCTAATTCAATATGCCTCCTTTAAATAATTTGGACCGTAATAATTTCTCGTTATCAACCCCTGACGAACCTTGGGATCGTCTTCCGTCGCCCCTTGATCCTCGTCCATTATCCCCCCCTCAACCACCCTATAGCCCTATTTCTCCAAACCCCCTGCCCCCTTATCGTCCTCCTTCCCCGGCTATCCCATTAAACTTGTCCAATCATTCTCCTCCTCCTTCTCCGCCTCCTGCTCCAAATTATTCCCTAAGAGCCTGTTCCAGATCCCCCCTATCATCCCCTCCTACTCTTCATCTACCAAATCCCCCTCAATCTACTCCGCCTTCTGTCACTGTGAGTTCTTTAAATCTCACTATTTTATTGGGTTCTATCCCTTTGGTTCCAGAACCTTTCGAACCCTCTCTACTTCCCTTTCCTGAAGTTCGACATTGTGAAATCTGTTCTACAATTCCTCAGGTTGTTTCTTTCTTTAATTATTCATATTCTATACCTACGCTCAAAATACTTTAACCGAAAGAGGTTGCGCGATTTTTTGTCGAGCCTTTCTCCAGCTTTCTTTAAGTGTACACTATAGACACAACTGTAAACAATACCTATTCATTTTCCGATTCTAACAATGGCTGAATTTTGTTTTTGTTTTCTGTTTTTCATCAGGTATACCTTTTAATAATTGATTGATTTCTTTTAGGTGACATTAGAACAGCATACTGAGTGTGGCCCCTTCGCTTCTCATCATTCGTTGGCTAATTTACCTAGCGCTGAAGCATCAATAACCCTTACGGCATACTGGGCAATATTTAATTCGAACAAACAACTGGTGTGTAAAATCTGTAATTTTGAAACATTCCTAGTCAACACGCCGACTCCTCCCACTCTGTATTTTTGTAGTCATGCAAAATCTTTACACCCCATGGCTTCCCTAGATTCCCTTGTAGCCAACTTCTCTGAAAATATATTCGCGTGTCTACCGTGTGTGAGGTTGTTCCCGTCTCTTATATCACTACTACTCCATGAACTGTTTACTCACAAATCACCAACAAAAATTTATTGCCCCATATGCTGTGCATTTATAGAATCAACGACTCTGTTATCTCATGTCTCTGTCGTTCATCCTATTCTGCCGTGTGTCTTCTGTTCTCTTCACCTACCTGTCCTTGACCTTATTCATCATATTCTTGATCCAGTTCAACATACAACGATTCCGCTCAACAACATCCTGGAATCTTTTAGTGAAGATCTACATACATTACTCTGAGGTTCACATTCGATTCCGGCGGTAAAGTTTATAACATTTGCAGAACTCCTGCCACAAATTTTGAATACAGACCAATATGCCAGAATTCTTCAATTAAATAATAAATGTGGTGTTTGATCCGCATGTTCCCAGTTCACAAGTTTTCCGAAAAATTTGGGTCCACACTTTCTAGCGCGAATTTCCTCTACAGAAGCGTCTGCCCTCACTGTCTTGGTGCATATATATGAACAGGGCGCCTCATTTCTGCAACACCATAACCTTCTCAATAGATACAAACAACATCTCCTGCAGGTTCTTCTCAACGATATGTCCGACAACCATACCTTGTATAAAACTTTTCAAATGATTTTTCCTCACAACAGCGTTTACCCATTGTATCCACAACCTGCCCGTGCGCCCCTGCCTCTTCCTGATACGTCTACAATACAACAATTACTGAACGGATCGTACCAAATGATTTTAATAGGTTCACATTTATTGCGCTGGTGTGGGTCGAACCTTTCATCAGATTTCAAGATTCTGAACCTCAGTACGCTGCGAACAATGTACGCTCCGACCACATACCTATCCACAGCTCCAGAACCCCAGTCTTTCTTGGGGTATATCTCAACAACATTTTTTCAACCCTATTCGGTTCTACAGCATAACTCCTTCACTATCCATCTAGCCCGCATTCTTCCTGAGCTCAAAGGGGACAAACCTGTTCTGATTGAAATGGACGTCGTAGGCTTTCTCTACACTCGACCACCGCAAATACTCCCCCTTGCAATAAAAACAAATTTACAAGAGTTAATTATAAGCTATTTCGTTTGTATTCTGAATGTCCTAAAAACTCTTCTGCCAAATTCTCCGGCAAAAGGGTGTCTGATTATACTTAATCAGGCACCCTTTAAATTGCCACAGTTGAGCATTGCCGATAATCTAGAACTCCTGATTAAAATAAACTGTTTTGCCTATTGTGTTGCTACCATATATAACATCCCAATTGTGAATACACCTGCCTTCCTGGAGTCGTGCTACCCTACCACTGAATATTCTGAACAAATGCTTCAAGACTTCCAGAACATGTTCAAATTAGTGACGACACAGTTTAATACCTTCTACATAAAAACAAACCTTTAATGTAATTAGGTAGTGTCTGCCATCTTAAACTCCCAATATTTTCTATCTGCTCATAATTTACTTAATTATACACTTTATATCCTTACTTTTTTTCATACCTCTGCATAAATTTTCTTATCCTTGCTAAACTATCTTTCTATTCAACTACGAGTTGCCAGTTATAGCTAATGCTCTATTTAACCTCTATTCATTAAATTGTTGTCTATCTTGCTTCCATATAACGATTAAATACTCGCTTACAAATATACATTTTATTCTAGGATGTTTCTGGTCCCAGCACTCCTTCTCACCTTCACCATCCCGCTCAGCACCCAAACTTTAAACTTTGTTTTTGAGGATACTCCGATTCAACTTCCTACAGACCTCTCCACAGCATGTTTAACAGTAAATTTTGTAAACCTTCCAGTCTTGTCCGACATAGCTTTGTTAAATGATACCATGAAAATATTTTTTTCTTACTCAATGGATAATATGAATTCGGAGTTAAAAATATTATTAACCTCTTTAAAAAGTTCTTATAAACATTTGTTAACTCAACTAAAGACTAGATCTTCTTTTTTCAACGGAAAATCTAGCCCATGGGCTTCTTCATGTTTCTTGGATATAGTATACCTGGATCCCTCCTATATTCCTATTCTAGGGGCCTTATCAAAAATTATAGCTTCCTTGTCGCCTACTGTAGTACAGGCAGGTCAACTTACTGACCTATCTACACAACCTGCTCAAACATTACTTGGTACCGTCATGCCATTATGGCAATATTTTATCAGCCTCTCTAATATATTTGACTTGGAACAAGAATTTTATTTACAATTACAATCTCATGTTTTACCTCCATATGTTCTCTCTTTACTCCCCCTTTCTACATGTCTTTCTCCTTCTATTCAAAATAGTTATCAAATTCTTTCATTTCAGGCTTCTTCAAAAGGGCCTCAAATTTCTGTTTTGGTTACTCAAATCCTTAAAACACGTAAATATATACCCCTCCGTCCTACCCAATTTTTCGGTTACTTTCTAAATATTTCAAACACTCCCTTCCCCGCCTATAAAACGCCCGACGATTCCTTGGTTTTTTTCCCATGTTCCCCTCCACATACGTTATGCCCTGAACGTCAAATAAATGACTCTTGCTTGTCTGCATTGCAAGAAAAGAAATTTACAGACGCCAAATTAATGTGTAATTTTATTAAAGGTACAGAAACACCTGTCTTGACCAGAGACGGAATATTTGTCCCAAACTCATATCAAATAGACCTACTGTCACCTCTGCCACAAGAACTACCCTCTCCGCCCATACCACGGTCAACTAAAGGTCCTGCTCTCATACAAAGTGCCTCCCAGGTAAAATTAACATCTCATAATCGTGAATATACTTTTCAACCCACGCTCGCTGATGGTTCAAAGTTTACTGCTTTCTATTTAAATGCGCAAGAATCAAAAACGCTTTTGGATCTTCTTACACCCCCTCCCCCTTTCTATACCCCTTCATTAGCTGAAAAAATTACTTGGGGAGTGGCGTCTTCGATTGTTTCCATTCTATTCCTTATACTGGCTATTTTTACGAAATTTAACCCTGTCCGCACTGCTGCGGGTCATCCCCGTCCAAATGTAGTTTTTCGTATTGCCGCTTCCCGCCGTACGTAACGGCATATGTTTAAGCTTCTTTTCATTTTTCTTATTTGCGCGGTTCCACATTTATAGTGCATATACTCTTAATTTTTCTGTCTAAACCAGTTTTTTTTTCCTCATAATCGAACATAAATATTTTCCAAACAGATATTTCCCTGTCTTACGGCTATACCGCTATAATAAGAAATATGATACATGATTTAAACATTATTAAAGGACATCCTAAATGTAATTAATTATAATTTTATTCTGATTCTTTTTTTCAGTTCTGCAGAGCACCTGTCACCTACATATCTTTGAATGCTGGCGCCAGAAATCCCTTACATTTTATAAAACAACTTTCTTTTGCATGCTTTTACACTTTCGCCTATAACTTTCATTTGTATTATTATATTTCATTATTCGTTTGCTATCAGTCCTTAATCTTGATCTTTATAATTAAAGGCTACACGTAAAAATATTTCCAGTAAAAACAATTGACAAATATTTACTCAAATTACAGCTTATACTGATTAATTTTTTTTCGCCATTTTAAACTTTAAATATTAGGCGAAACGACATAAAACCATATTTTAAAATTTTTCTGATCAGTATATACTCAGTAACGTTTTTTTTCAATTTGTGTAAATATGAAAGTCATTAAAGGTGTCGATCTTCATTTCCAAAGGGCAAATTTTACTAAAGAGAATTTTGTGTATAAATCTATTTTTGATTTAACTTGTATAAACACCTTCCGTTTGTGTCAAAATCAATGCAAATTGTTGCCGTTAACATCGTGGGCACAAATAATAATCCACAAAAATTTGTTTAAATGGGCTAAGACCTTAAACTTGTCAACTTTAAATTTGATTAAATTGTTAAGTGCGCCGATACATCTCAAAAATGCAATTTTAATTGACTTTTTATGTTGCGAACGACACAATAATTATGAATATACTGATAAACATGCTCAACCCGATATGCATGCTCTGTATATATTTAATTTTTATGTAAAACATACGAGTGATTATTATTTTGTCCGCCCAGCTTTTTATGAAACTGAAAAATATTTTTCTAATAGTCTCTTATTTTACTTTTATTTAAAATACCTGGAACGTACTAAACCAGCAAAAATTTTTTTTTGCAAAATTGTCAAGAAATATACCAGTTCATGATTTATTGCAAACATTTTTGGAAAAAGTTGTTTATATTCCCAGGGCCCAATGTCCTGAAGTTCCTTTGTTTTTAGATAATTACACTGCTATTTGTCAATATCATGACTATTACATAAACCCACGTCTTGACATGACTCTCTTTCATGTCCGTGAATATGACTGTCATCAATGGGTTCGACTTAAACATGAAAATTATTTAAAACTAATGTCGGCTTATTGAACCCAGATGACAAATCCATTCTCGTTCTAGCGACAAAAATAAACAATTGTAATCTGTATTTTAAAATTTGTTTATTTCAATATGTATATCTGTATTGCACATATTATTTTAAGTTTGATCGATTCACTGCAACTCGTCCACTGAAATGTTTCAAAAATATGGGATTTTTGTTTACTCCCCAAATAAATTACTCCCCAGATAAATTTATTTTGAACATTATGTCCCCACCGTTTCATTATGTCTCCACCGTTTACATTATATCGTTGTATTCTTTCACTTTCTTTAAATATTTTTCCCTATTTCTAATGATAAATTTGTATGTAATTCTGTTTAAAATAAATACTGCACCAACTTTCCTAATTACTTGTCTGTCAATAGTCCGTCCAGATCATCATCACAGTATAAGTAAACAACGTAAAAAGATTCTGCAAAACAACTTACCCAATTAAATTAAAAATTGCAGTTGAATTTTTAAAATTTTCTTAAACTTGCATACTCTCCATTTTTATTCCTTTTACGTCGATTTTCTAGTATTTATTGATCATTTTCTTACAAATAATTTTTTTTTCCAACACTCAATTATAATACTGAATTTTAAATTTCCATCGTGAATTTAATGTTTAATACTGCAAGATAAACTGGGTCTACTCCACCATCGCCTGGATAGCTGATTCTACCGGTTCATTCAATATATATTATTTCTGTATAATTCCCGCTTCATTCCCTTCCTGTTGATTTTGTACCCTCCCCTTTCTTACGTTCTTGCTTTCAAACGATTTTCTTCTGATTACATATTTCTTTCTTTTCTAATTTAGCCCTATACCATAAAGATTTGCTTCACCTGATTTTTCTTTCTGTGCTATTGATCTATTCCTTTCTTATTAACATTTTACCCTTTCCTTTCATGTTGCCCCCCCCCCCTACATGTTCCTTTCCTTTAATTTTCTTCCTTTCTTTACCTTCTTCCTTTTGTTTATCCTATTCCTTCTCTAAACAAAATAAAGATTTTCTAATTTTCACTTTCCTAGTTTTCTCCCACATCAAACTTTCCTTTCCTTTTTCCACTATCTTCTCTTTCTACTTTTTCTCCTGAATTCCGGCTTCTAGAGTTTTGTCCTTTCTTTCTTTCTTTCTTGTCTGCTTTCTCCGATACCATCCTTTCCTACCTTTTACGAGGTATATACCACTCTCCGTATATAATTTCCTTCAGAATCATTTACCCTTTCACTTTTGTCATTCTTTTTCTCTTCTTTGCCCACCATAGTCTCCCTTCCATATCCTTCCCTTCATTATTCCTTTCTCATTCCCTTCCTATACCCCCTCTTTTGCCTTTTTCCCTTTGTTCCTTTTGAACTCATATAAACATATATTCTCTTAAGACCTGCTATTCCTTTTTTTCTCTTTTCTTCCTTTCTCCATCTCCCTTTCCTTTCCTGGATATGTTTCCCTCTACTAACAATTACGTAATGTGCTTGTCCCCAATCTTTCCATTTCCTTTCTCCTTCCCCCTACTTACGTTTTGCCTTTTCCCCTTACCTTGTTTTCATTTTCTTCTTTTCTACTCTTCTGTTAAACTTGTTCCTGTCCCTACCTTCGTCATGTTTTCCTTTCTTATCGTACCAAAATATGATGATCCACTTCCTTTCCCTTTCTATAATTGCATTTCGCCTCTCTAACATATTCTCCAATTTTACTTTTTCAACCTTTTCTATCTTTTCTCTTTTTTTTCTATTTTTATAATAATTTTTACATAATCCCTTTTTATCCTTTTGTTTTTCTTTCTACTTCTATTTCCTGCGTTCTTCTTCCCTCCTCCTGTTCGTCATTCTTTCGGATGTTTGTACTATCCTTTTTGTCGTCTTCCTTTCTCCTACATTATCCATTTCTCTACCTGTCCTCTTTCTACTTCTCACTATTATACTTTCTTTCCCTTATCCGCCTTTCCGTTTCATTTTTTCCCACTTTTAAGTAAATTATTCACCAAACATTGTCCACTCTCTCTTGATTTCCACGAATCAAACATAAACTTATATCATAAATTTGCTTTTCATTCCTATTTTCTTCGCATTTTCTCAGAATATTTAATTAAATCAACTGAATTACAAATTTATTTCTACTGCTTTTTCTTACTATTTAAAACTAGTTAAACAAGAATAAATTGTTTTTTCCTTTCGTTTATTCAGAAAAACTTTTATTTTAACAAACTATAATTCTTTTTGACTAAGCATATGGGAACATAAACAAATCTCTCAAAAAAATAAATTCTTCCATGAGATGTTATGTAACTTGACAATAACACAAAAAAAAAATTAAAAGATAATCAGTTCTTCACGGACAAATCTGACATAACAGACAATTTACATTTTTTGTTTCTTTTCCATTCTTATAAATCTCATAAAAAGATATCAAAATATCAGGACAAAAACACAAAGTTTCTTCCTCTTCTAAACAAAAATTGAGATATGAATGTTTCCCGGATATATATAAAGTAAACCAGGCCATTACTGTAAAGTTGATTATAAACTTTGATTGATGACCGTTACTTGTTTATCTTCCGGTTCTGACTATTTATTTCTTTTGCCGTAATGACCCCTGACGAGTGCCAAGTTTACTTTCGTCCACCTCTCCCAGCCTTTCCACTTCCGTCCTCCTTTTGTATGATCTTCCACTTTCACCACCGTTCGGAGTACTGCAATTAAAAATACATTACGTTAACAAACATAGTCAATTTTAATTATTTTCTTTCCTTACACCTTCAATAGACTATGTATTTGGCTAGAGAACTTTAATCATGTTTTTTTTTTCTGTCATACATCATTTGTGTTTGAAATCTGTTATTCATGAATTTCTAAACTCCTTCCTGCCATTAATTTAAAAACATGAATTTAATCGCTCAACTTTTGTTTATTTGTACTTCTCCTTTATTTTCAATACCAAATTACTTTACACATAAATACCTGAACTGATCCGCAGTATCAGCCTCCTTCACCGCCACAATCTGGATTTCTCCGACATTGTCAATGTTGCCGGCTTGTCCGACGTGGCTCTCAGCGGTTTCTCCGACCCTAGGGAACTCCGTCATTCTGTCCGGCTCCGCAATTATGTGACCGGATCTCTCCACCCTTTGCTCTTCCGGGATTGCGTCCTCAATTTTTGATGTAGTTTTAACATCTGTCTGGCTGTTCTCCTCCTTCAATTGCAATACGTCAAGAATTCTTCTCTCCTGTACGCCGATAAATTCCTCAGATCTCTCCCTTTCCCGGCTCTCCTTACACAAAGTATTTAAATATCCCTGGACATCCTCGGATTCCGACCTCTGTACGTCCTCGACTGTCCTGTCTCGAACATTCCTAAAAGATTATATATTATACTTCCTTTCCTCTTCTAATGAACTTTTCAATAAAAACAAAAAATAACTGCTGTTTTTCCCTTCCTTTCCTCTTCCTTTCTCGGATACCTTCCTAATGTTACCAATCTTATATTGATAAAGCCCTGTCTCCTTCCTTCTCTATAACCTAACCTATCTCCATTTTTATTTATTCCCATGTCCGTCTTTTGTTTCTGACATTTGTCTACTACTTTTATGCATTGATTTGCGGAATTTTTTTTGTCGTCATACATATTATATTTCCAAAAACCCCCCCCCCCCCACTATAAACTTAACCCACCTGTCCTCTTCGGTATACACCTCCGTCTGTTGGCTCTGCCTGTCCCCCATTGACCTCTGGTCTTCCTCTCTCCTCTGTGATCTATTACGGTACCATAGTAACTCGGCAGAAGCCTAAACAATACTCAAGGTAAAATTCCTTTCAACCGTATAATTCGTCTTACATAAAACTTGCAATTGTTCAAACCTTCTTAAAACTTCCCTTTTCCCGTGCACTTTCAGGATACCAAACCCAACTTTTTGATCTCACACATTACTTAATATCTATACTCTCTTACCTTATCCATGTCCTGTTTTGTCCCTTCGGTTTGAACCCCCCTCTCCGCGACCTGGCGAGGAATTACAGGTTCATATCTAAATAATAAACATTCATAAAATTATTGCCTCTTCCAACAACAAAAGTTAAACATTTTACCAAATACTACAAAATGTTGTAATTACTAATTAAC